GTAGGATTCCCACTTCCAACACCACCAACAACAGTCCATTTGTGCATCTTGTTTGGCATAAAATAGGAAATTGCTTTCTTGTAGTAAACTAAAGAGGTGGATCTACCATGTGTAGGATTATCGTCGACACCAGGATCTTCCCTACCAAAGGCTTTCTTTGCAAAGAACTTGTAAATATGATCCGGTGTTAGAATACTCAGCTGCTCTGGTGTAAATATAGTATCATTCGGAAATCGATTATCCCCATCTCCACCTTCATCGATTCTTCCATGTACATGATCCATTAACTCAAGCAAAATCTTGTGATATCTACCCCATTGCCCTGGCTGGTTCACATCACGTGGAGGCGTTACAGCTCCTCCCCTTCTTTTCCGAGCCAGTTGTCTTGTTCTTCTTGTTCTTGCCATACTTAGTACTTCTTGTATGCGACTGTGTGCTTGTACTGCTCGTATGGGACTGCTCGTATGGGACTGCTCGTATGGGACTGCTCGTATGCGACTGCTCGTATGCGACCGCTCGTATTTTTTGCTTGTTGCTTGGGGTTTTGCTTGTACTCGTACTACTAGTACTAGTAGTACTACTAGGATGATGCGAGCAAGCAACTGCTGCTATTTTGTGAGCAAAGAAGCAGCACCTCTCGTGAGTCAGTGCTTGTCTTGCTTGGGGTTTTGCTTGAACCGGTACGTGTATCGTAGTATGCAATAAGTGCACCTCTCGCGTCGTGAGTCAACGCGTCGTGGTGAGTCAGTCAGCAGCAAGAACCGGGGCTACGATACTCCTGCACAGCTGTGTGTATTTCGATACTTAGTAGTAGTAGTGTTCTTCTTGATACTGCTGCTGTGCTACTGTTTTTCGATAGTTATCTTGCTTTGGGTTTTGCTTGAACCGGTACTCGTATGCAATACTCGTCGTAAGTGTTATTTTGTGAGCAAAAAATGCACCTCTCGTGAGTCACTGCCGGGGGGAGTTGCAAAATTGTTGCATACTCAGTGTAATTTGCTCTGTCTTAAGCAACCAAAAGAGGTACRGATGGGACCACAGCAGAAAAGCTAATACGGTTGCTGTGTAGAATCCCTACCACAAATCATGTAGCAGCTGTAAGTACGGTGGTAATTGGAGTGGGATAGAGTGACGTGTTATGGACTACGTAAAATTCTACGTATTTTAAGTACCGATAGACTCCTTCGACCGTTTTGCAATATCGGTTGCAAAAATTTGGTACCAGGCAGGTACGTTGTACGTTTGATGTTTGTACCGTTTTTTCAGTCTTGTCATGATTCAAAAATCAATTACTGTACTTCGTACGGTACGATACGTACGGTATGCATTGTAAAAAATAAAATACTACAAGTACTGTACTACGTACTTCAGTACTAGTAAAAAATAAAAAAGAGCAACAAGAATTTCGATTTTTTATAAATCTGTTGGTTTGATTACCTCGACCAATTTGACTAATAAATCTCAAAGTCTCAAAGCGCTTTGATCGCTGAAACAGGAAACTAAATCGAACCGGCAAGAAAAAAGTTGTCGCAACAACCAAGACGAAGAAGGNTACGTAGTACTCGTAGTAGTCCGGCATACGTGATGATATTTATTTTCGCGCGCTATGAACTGATTCACACATGGGAGAGAAGTTTACGTTGATAAATTTTGAACCGTCTTTCGTGGAGGGAAACAAATTAATCGGAGGGAAAACCAAGCTCACACAAAACATGTCGTGATCGATGATACGACAAGTACGTATCGTACCGGCACAGTACAATGTACGGTACGGTACTTCTACTTCTTTGTAATTCACATGGAAGACAACAATACCGGTACAGTGGGGCTCTGTACTCCTAGGAGAACACCTTCGATGTCACGAGAGCGTTTTTAACATAACGTACCGGTACGTCGCCAAACGAGCACGATACTCGTACCCTCAAGCGGATTTCGGAAGGTGAACAACTAGGCAACTGTTTCCTACCGGTATGGTACCATTTTTGTTCCCAAGAAAGAAGAAAGACAATTTGCAATGATGAAGTCGTTGCAAGCCACGCTTTATCGCCTTCTTTTGATTGGGGTAGGATGTTTGTGGACTTGCRATGCAGATGAGAAGTCGCATTCACGTATGCGTCAAAACGTAAGGAGGCGTACTAGATTTATAATCGCGAATGGCATTCCAATCAGCAGTCACCTACCCGAAGAAGAACCAATAGGGAGAATCGAAGAAGACGACACATATATAGACTACGGTGAGATATTTTCGATGCCAGATACTCCCGATTCAAAACCGAAACCCAAGCCGAAGCCGAAACCACAGCCGAAACCAAAGCCGAAGCCGAAACCACAGCCGAAACCACAGCCGAAACCAAAGCCGAAGCCAAAGCCAAAGCCCAAACCTTCAAACTCGCCTGCCACACCTCCTACTAGGGAGGATCGTAGTATGTTAATTCAATCAAAATGTGGTATTACTAGCATCGAACGATCCAGGGATATTTTAACTGAGCTTCTCATGGTATCTGACGATTCAAACCTCGTCAATCCTGCAACCAGCCAATACAGGGCGCGTAATTGGTTGGACAACGTCGATCCCGCCATTGTCTGCCCTGACAATACCGATCGAATTCTTCAGAGATACAAACTAGCTCTGCTGTACTATGAACTCGGGGGAAGCGAATGGACAAGTTGCAGAGCCGAAGAAGACATCGCCAATTCTGAAGAGGAGGAGGAATGTCCAGGAAAACCATTTTTGAGTGAGTACAATGAATGTGAATGGGGCGGAATGTTTTGTGGCGGAAATTACGATAGCGTCACGGCAGAATGGCTGGATGCATTCTATCCATTAGAGTTGATGAATCTTCAATCCAACAATCTCAAGGGTGAATTATATGACGAGTTCTACGAATTCACATCTCTGAAGGAGATCTTTCTAAACAACAACAATTTAGCCGGTACGATCGACAACAAGATTGGAAGCTTGAAAACAATAAATGTTTTGCAACTGGAGTTAAATTCYTTTACAGGGCCTGTGCCAGAATCGGGGTTGTTCGAAATGGAGCTATTAGGTAGGTCTCAGTCAAGCAGTATCTTCAATGATTTGGTTACAGTTTGTCCTTTCATGTTACTGTTTCTCATAAAACTTGTCAATGCTTCCCATGAAATACAGCGGGATTGTCTTTAAGGGGAAACCAGCTTACCGGATCGCTCGAGTTATTGTGTAACGCAAGAGACGAGCGTCGGAATGAATTTGGATCCTATCTTGTGCTGAATATGGAAGCTGATTGTCTCGGAGATCCCCCAGAAGTTGAATGTTCATGCTGCACGTGCCTCTGATAACATGGTATTGTATTAAATTAGCTATTCATAGGGTGTACATTTTTAGATAATCTTCATCACAAAAACTTCCTTTTCTTCCGAAGTTCTAACTTCCAATCTTAGATCTAATCATTTTGTTACAGCCAATCGGATGTTTCCAGTACCATTGGGGTCTAACATGATTCTTTCACTCACAAAAAATGTTAGCCTCTATTTTTGTCGTACACCAGGCCTCTATTTCGTTTTCGTCTAGCGCTGGGAAGGATGCTCGCTCCTCTGAAAACCTTTCTCTTTTTCTTGTTGCTATTATTACCAGTATGGCTAGAGTTGACTGTAGTGGGTTGCGAAATATTATCTCCAGTGAGGTTGATCTGTAGATTTCTGATGTTATTCTTGATCTTATCAGTCGCGCAATCCCCACCGCTAACGGTGTTGGGGATGATCTGGGTTCGCCACCGATTAAAGGCATCCTCCACAACCTGCCTCGCGGCTGTTACAGCTGGTTCATCGCTCTTCTGAAGGGGATGGCAGTGGTTTGCGTTTGTGGAAAGATCCCAATATAAAAAACGCAAAGCATTTTTGTCGTATTTCGTCACGGTGCCATCGCCTGAAGAGTGCAAAAGAAGTGTCCCATTTACATTTCCAATACTCTTATACGGAATATCCACGCGAAGATCAAACTTTTTAGGGAGAGAATGCAAACTATCGCAAGCTTTGGGTACTAAATTTCCACTGTTTTTCAAGTCTCCATTCTCCTCGTTGGCTTTACTCGACTCGACATATTTTGCAGTCAACTGCCCCGTTCGATCCATCTTTTCTACCTTGTTGTCGGTACATGGAGGTCCTTGTCGAAGTAATTCTCCAGCCATCGATCTTGCCAAGGCCTCGGCGGTAACACTTTGTGGATCAAGCTGCAACGAGTCGACGTGAGACATGAGCTGCGAGTAATCCAAGGGCCGCGTAGAGATGTAACTCCCACCACCGATGCCAAGATCCTTCTCTTCCCCGCACGAAAATTCTTGAATTGTATTTGGTAGGAGAAGAAAAAAGCCAAGAGCTGCCAAAATCACACAAGATGACGTTGGCTGCTGCGCTCTCCATGGCGGATCATCACAATTGATACTACTCTTTCCTTCTTGCTGCTCCTGCTCTTGTTTCTTGACAAATTCAAAGGTGACATCGAAGAAGAGAACCCTTCCACGAATGCAATCCATGTCTTCCCCGAAATGACGCAGAATTTTCAACGGGTCCGAAACCATTAATTTTGATCGCCAATACAAGGGGACCTGTTTGTCTTTACCATCAAGATATTTGATGACCTTGTCGTGACCCAGCAACTCTACTGCGAGATGCAGAGCGAATTTATCTCTGAACTGCCCAGATTCGCTCATTTATATTGCATAGACATGCGAATATCAACTGTGAGATTACCGATTGTTGTGGAAGGGGCGACACCACAATGCCGCCCGGTTTGTTGCCGTTGGGAGTTTGCTGTTTCTCTTGAATTCGTTCAGTCAAACGGAAACGACGTGTTGTCCAGAAGCGCTGTTCATTGTCATCCTTGTCTCGATCTCAATTTTTCACTTTTCTTTCTAGTCCCTCTTTTTCACAGTTTCTAGAAACGCTAGCATCGTACGTTTTCCTGTACGGTACCAGGTATGTACGTTGTACGTTTGATGTTTGTACCGTTTTTTCAGTCTTGTCATGATTCAAAAATCAATTTCTGTACTTCGTACGGTACGATACGTACGGTATGCATTGTAAAAAATAAAATACTACAAGTACTACGTACTTCAGTACTAGTAAAAAATAAAAAAGAGCAACAAGAATTTCGATTTTTTATATATCTGTTGGTTTGATTACCTCGACCAATTTGACTAACAAATCTCAAAGTCTCAAAGCGCTTTGATCGCTGAAACAGGAAACTAAATCGAACCGGCAAGAAAAAAGTTGTCGCAACAACCAAGACGAAGAAGGAGGTCTGGAAAAATGCCCATTCAATCAATGGAAACTTTTACTGTMCTGTAATGTTAGAAGTAAATGCGCAGTACATGAGTACTAACATCCCAATAATCTTCCAGCGCTTCCTTCCGTGACTGATCGCACCAGCACACTCACGTTGCATCACAGTTCGGCATTGGTATCTGCTGATTTCCCCCGAGAAACTCTTTCTGGAAGAGCTCTCTWCGGCATTCCCTGATGGAATTTTCCGGAGGGTTTATTTACGATGATAGAAAGCTGGCTGCCGTCGTCTACGATGAAGAAAGAACAATGYCAGCTTTTGCACCTGAATCGGCACTCCAGGCAAGACCTAGGAGACGAAGCAACACTTATGATTCAAATATGGATGGGAGCAACAGCAGCATGATCGACGAAAGTTCCATTGTAGTCGAGCGTATTTTGTCTGCTATCGAACTTCGGGGGGACAACGGACTCAGACCTCACGGTGGTCCGCTAACGAATGTCGAGATCGTCAGGCTCTCCACACTTTGTGCAAAACAAACAGAGCATATCAACAGGAATAAAGGGAAGAAGATCGACAACCACACGAATGATACCATCAACGATGGGGCAATTCTCAACGAAAATCTTGGCTTTTCAGATGTCGATGCCGACATGATGGCGCAGCTCGTAGAACATCTAGAGAAGCACGTCGTACTGGCATCACAGATCAATCTTGTTCAATCATCGTACGATGCTATTCTGAATCTTAAGAAAGCAGATGGGATTAGAGAGGTTGGATGCAGGACCATAGACGAGGCAAGTAGAAAATGGGAACGCGATYTGGTAAAGGGACAAGATTGAATATGCACTGAAAAGCAAATAGCAGAAAATGCAACGACTGCTAACGAAGACTAACCAAAACACTCTATCAATTTCTCTTTTATTATGTTGTTGTTTCTCTCTTGTAGTGGATTCGAAAGGGTACGGGATCAGAACTTGTTGGAACTCTTTCCAACGGACTCGAGGCAGCGATGGTGCTTCTCTCGATCATGACAAGTCCTGGCATCGATCGTCGCGTTGTCAAGGAAGATGCCGTTGTAGCATCACTTGTTCTCATGAAGCAMAATTTAATGAAGAACATTCTTCCTGCAGTCAACAACTGTGGGCACATTTTGGCAAGCATGAGCAAGTCACAGCTCCACGCCTCTCTAACACCCACCAAGAAACGGCGTCGACGAAGCAGTGCTAGCGCTTCTAGTAGTATTGACGCCTCCATTATCAAAGACATGGGAAAGTGCTACAAATCTATGATTTTTAAAACCGTTAGCAACACTGTCCTTCTGATGGAGCGACTCGATGCGTTGATCCAAAAAGTTGCTCTCGACGACCAACATCTCATGACACTTTCAGCGGGAGCCCTCGTATCACTCGAGATAGATCCCTCTACAGATGCAGCTATTCGTTTCACGCACTCGCTTCACGTGGCAACTGTTGGAATTGTGACCTCTATCTTTCGTTCGTACAGGAAATTGCGGCCTATGATCATCGAAGATCTCTTTGCTCTGATGCTCAAAATGCCTAGTGGTAAAAAAGGCATGCGAACGTACACGATTCAATACTCATCAGTGTTGTACCCCCAAGCAGCATTGGAACTGTCGAAGTCCCTCTTGATGGGTGCTACTGGTGGTGGTGGCGATACTCCKGTGCATTCAGACAAAGCATCCAACATCCAACCCATATGTGTCATGATCATGAGTCTTGTCCAATCTACTGTGATTCAACCCTCATTTGTGGACTCCCGTCAAATCAACACTGGAAACCATGCATGCTTGAGAGACTGTCAGGCAATTAGTGATTTTTTCGTCAGCCATCTGTTGAAACGATGCAGTAAAAAGGGAGAAGATGGGGGAGCATCGGAATTTCGTCCAATCCTAAGCAATCTAATAGAAGATCTGCTGCTCGTTCTATTGGTGCCCGAATATCCCGCTGCAGAAATGATTCTTTTATCTATTGCAAATTTCATGTACCACGACATCATTCAAATGACTTCCACAAAGGTAGGCAAAGAGTCAACGACGACTACTTATTTCAACACGATATTTGATGCGTTGGGGAAGATCTCTGCTGCCGTCGCACGGATCAATAAGTGGAACAAGGAGCATCCGGTCCGTTTAGAGCTACCTCGTATTCGAGAAAATGGAACCATGAAGCATCTTGGTTGCTATTGCAACGAGACAGAATTTACTGGTGATAAATTTATGGTGAAATGCGACCGATGTAACACATGGTACCATGGGGACTGCATAGGAATCAGTCGGGAAACTGTTCCAGAAAAGTGGTTGTGCGATGGGTGTCAATTCGGTCGGATCGTCGAATTCGAACGGGATCGCAATTCGAATTTAGGGGAATTGGGTTGCCCACCCAACTTGATCGATCGGCCTTATTGTTTGAGACGTCTTGTGATTGATTATTTGTCCGTCTTGTCTCGAAATTCTGATTTGAAGGGAGTCACAGATGCCTATGGATTCCAATTGGCCCGATGGTTGAAAGAAGTTGAGACTACGAATGCCAAAAGAAAGGAAGGTGATATCGATGATRCACTGCCCCTTATTGCAGGGCTAATTGAGTTGTGGGATCCTAGAAATTCCATGGGAACATTTCAAGGGAATGATGCAGGATCTTTGAGTGGAATGCTCAATTGTATGTCGGACGAAGGCCGAAGTCGAATGGTTGTTGACTTTATCTGCAAGCTTTCAAGTTTACTGAMATCGTTCAAGAGTCAAGTCGGGAGGATTGTCAAACTTTTGGAGAGCCCATCTAATTCGGTACGAAAGCTATCGTTGAAGGCTATAGAGAAAATCGCAGATGCCGATCCTACCCTGATGACGCATCCGTTTGTTCGAAATGCCGTCGCACGGCGTTTCTCTGATGAATCCATTTCTGTTCGAGATGCAGTGGTTTCGTTGGTTGGCTCTTATGTCCTTAACACTCCGGAAGTTGCAAATGCATTTCATCCAGCGTTGATCCATGGCCTCTCAGATTCCGGCTTGAGTGTCCGAAAACGAACCATTCATGTCCTCCGAGATATTCTGTGTACGAATCCAACATACAATGGGCGCGCAGAGGCTTGTAGTGTGATGTTGCGACTTGCAGCAGACCCAAAAGAAGATGATACAGTGCGAGACCTAATTTATGACCTCTTTTCGAAGATTTGGCTTGAACAAGGAGACAAGACTTTCGATTCCCGAAGCAATTCGTCTTATTCGATTCAAAATTTGGACAAGCTGGTGTCTCCTGTTTCTAGAGTATCAAATGTAGAAGATATCACATTGAAAAGCACACCTTCGCAACCTCCATCGGGAATAAAAACCCCGTCCGGGGCCAGTGTGACACCTTACACTCCGAATGGATGGACGTCTGTCACGAAAAGCACCAGATCAACAGTCAAAAAATGCAGAAGCAGATATCTTCAACTTCGCTGCCAAGCTGCTGCAGAGCAAATGGTAGAAGTGGTAAAAGCTGCTAACACTGAGCGCGACTTGACGTTACTCTTTCGGGAACTACTTTCTGCCACACCTGACTCTAACAAGAGCAGAAAGTCATCTGCACGAAGAAAGAGATGTGGACTTGCTCAGAACCACATGTCATTGTTGGTAGACGCGTTGTTTGAGATGATTCTTTCCGTTGAGGAAGACTACAGTAAATCAGCAGGGGAAAAGGGCGGCGAATTAGTATCCATTTTCCGAACTCTTCGCGTATTCACAGATGCTTCACCGACGGATGTCCTGAGGCATCTTGATACGCTTCTTCCTTACTTGAAGATCGACAACGGTCTCAAGTCAGCGGATGAGGCAAATATTGCTTGCTCATTGTGTGGGGTTTTATCTCGTGTTGTTCCAGAACTAGATCATGGCGATTGCGAGAGACTCGGCGATTCATCTCTCGCTGATGATCTTGTAGCTATAACGAAGAAATGGGGAAAAGCTGCTTCATCGTCAGCAGTACAAGCTTTGTGCTTATTTTCCGGTAAGGAGCGAAAAGGAATCTTCGAGAAAAGACTTGTTTCCTTGGCAAAACTCTTTCATTCATACCTAGTAAAGATCGAAAGATCAGGAGACTTTGCAACGAAAAGGAAGACTAAAAATCATGTTAGTCGGGCTCTCAGTGTTCTGGGTTCAATTTGTCGATACTGCGAAACGTCCTCATTTGACTTGACGGAATCGGAAATGGATGAGGACCACGATGAAAACGAAATAGATGTTCAGGAAGTAACTCTATYACGAATTGCACCTCTGTGTCAGSAGCTTTTCATGAAATTTTATGCGAAGGATGATGTGACGATAAAGGTTTGTGCAATTCAGGCTTTAACGGGGATTTTTATGGCTCACCCAAGGGAAATGCTGAAGCTAGAATGTAGCGGTTTACTAACTGAGGTAATGGCATCCACATCGCCCGAAGCGGTTCAACGYGAGTCCCTCCGTTGTTGGCGTGACATATTACTTGCAGAGGAATCACGTGTCGAGAGTGGAGAGGCAAAAGCAAAAATGGACTCGAAAAAGAATATAACAGTTTCCAAAAAGATTTCAGGGGATCAGGATGCCGATGCCACTATTTTTGGTGGTATTCTCACCAATCACTCATCTCGTCTTTTTGAAATGACAAAATGCCGCGAAAAAGATATAAGGTTTGCTGCCGTTGATCTCATTGGCCACCTATTGCGTCAAGGACAACTCAATCCAAACGAAGCAACTCCTCATTTGTTAGCATTGCAAGGGGATGTCGAAGAAATCATTCGGCGAAGTGCACTCAAATTTTTGATGCTTGAAGGTGAAAAGCGACCAGATATGCTGCGGCAGCGCCTTTGTGCCGGTGTCAAGCAGGCCTATCTATTTCAGATTGCTGTGAACCCCGACTTGAAGGAGGTTTCTGCGTTGATTGACGTTAGAAAGGAYGGAAACTTACACAAAGAATGTGTTTTCGGAAGTGTTTACAAAAACTGCATTGCAAGTATCAAGAAACAACGACGTGGTCTTTTTCGAAATCTTTTGAGCTCATTTGATCCACAGAATCTGAACAGCACTGAAGGGCAGCAAACCAATTCATCTATATCAAGACTTATGCTGCTGTCATACACATCTCAAGTACTCGCATATCTGCCATACAGTGTTGCATCAGATGCGCTGTATATTATTTATTACATTTCTTCTAATATTGCTCTGCAGGGGGCAGATCTTTTGGACAAATTTGCCTCATTTTTACGTCTTTACAGTTTGGCGAGTGACGATGAATTTGATGAGGTGAATTCTGAAGCCGACCAGTTGGAAGAAGCCGTGAATAACCATTCGCCTTATCCCGCAAACCATATCGCTGCCTTTTTAGAAGGAAAACTTTCATTTGACGTTTCAAAATTTTCTGATCTTTGTTCTGAAGCTGGGTGCTTGATTTTGTTGCTCAGGCTAAAGAATTTCCTCCGTGTGACGTATAATCTGAGCGAATCTCGATGCATTGGATTCAATCCTGACAAGAAAGAGATAGGGGAAAAGCCAATTCTGAAGTCCTCTACGGCATCCATCTTCGACTCGAAACTTCCAATATTCCGCCAATACAAGAGTACTGCGAAGGAAAAGATGAATGATAATGATATTTTGAATGCATGTATCTTGCAGTATGCAGAATTTCGTCGCCTCATGAGATCCGAGGTGAACAATGCATCCCTCAACGACGACGAGAGTGACGTAGAAAAYGAAGGACTCTCGGAGGATGGTAAAGTTAGTCTTAAACGTCCAAGATCAGATTCTGAAGGCGAACAAACAGTGGAATAGCTGTAGTAATATCCGACAGCGAGTTCGATAGGTTTAATTACATTTTCAACTGTGTTGTTGTGGAGACGAAAACATCTTGAATTGATCGGCATTTTTTTCACTCTCTTGCGAAGTCGAGTGAACTATATTCCTATAGATATAATGTAATAGCAAAATTACTCAATTTTTATTACAAAATACGGATGTACGTTTAGGAATTAATTACATCACCACCAATTCAAAGCGGAGTTTCTTTTCTTCAACAGACGGTGGCGGCGTTGTGCCCATGACTTCCCCACTGTAACTTTCATCACTATAAGGAGAGATAACGCGGCCTCTCGTTAAAAGCGGCGACGACCATCATCCAGCCCATACGGAACCGACCACAGATGCACCTCCAACGCTACTTATTTGGACGCGACCGTGTCTAGATCAAAGACTCCACCACTCCATGAAGAGTCCGRTAATACTCTCAATTCCCAGCGCAATCGATCATACAATTTCGTAAATTTATTTCACATATCATTTCGAGTTTTTAGAATCCGAAAGCACCTCCTTCTCGTTGTTCCTTGACGAAGTTTTCGTACAATCCGAAGATGATAGTCACAGAAAGAAGGATACCCGTACCACTTCCGATAGCTCCCATGAAGTCAGCGACAACAGACAAGGCACCAATGCACATACCACCAAATGCAGCTGCCGTGGGAATGTATCTGTTCAAGACATGGATCAATGCGGAATCACGGTGTCCCTTCATGACCATTTGGTTGTCACGAAGTTGCTTGGCAACGTCACGGGCAGAAGATCCAGAGACTTCAATCCAGGTCTTACTAAAAAGGGCGCAGGCTGTCAAGATGAAAGTAAGGTAGAAAACGGCGTGGAAAGGATCGTAAATRATTTCGGCAAACGACCTAGGAGGGGAAATGTAGTAAGCAATTCCTCCGACGGGGATCTTTTGCCCCATGGTTCCTTCGACATCTTGCCATTGTCCGAGAAGACGGACCAACACATTGGTAGGAGCACGGTTGTACAAAAGTTGGGAGACAAAGTACAAGTTGGAGACAAGAGCAGTTTGAAGGATGATAGGCATGTTCGACGTGTAGAAGAGCTTGATGGGGTAGTTTCCTTGTTGTCCACGGTACTTCTGGTACTTGACAGGAAGATCAACACGCCATCCTTGGAAGTAAATAACAATGACGAAAATCAAGACCGTGGCCATGAGGTTGGTCAAGTTGGGAAGATTCTGACGGTAGAGAGCCTCACGAAGGGCCTTCACCTTGTCGGAACGAGTGATGAGGAGATGGAAAAGAGCAATAATAGCACCTTCGAATTCAGTACCTCTACCAGTGTTTAGAGTGGTAGGGCTGAACGCTTTCCAGACAATCGTTTCACAAATGTTTGTGGCAATGAAAATAGAAATACCAGATCCAAGACCGTATCCCTTTTGCAAAAGCTCATCAAGAGTAAGGACAATGAGACCAGCACAGAAGAGTTGGAAGATAATCAAAATTGCATTACCAGCACCGATGGAGCTGAGGTCTCCGTACATTCCACTGGCGACGTAAGCGATGGCTTCACCGAGAGTGATCAAAAGACCGAAGAGTTTTTGGGCACCCGAAAACAAAGCACGATCTTCCTTGACATTGTAGTCAACTTCGATGATTCGCGAACCGGCCAAGAGCTGCATGACCAAACCAGATGTGACAATCGGACTGATACCAAGTTCCATCAGAGTACCACGGTTGGAGGCAAGAATAACACGCATCCAGTAGAAAGGATCGCTCGACTTCGCGGATTGGACACCGTAAATAGGAATTTGACAGCATACCAAGAAAATGAAGAGGACAATGGATGTCCAAAGAAGCTTTTCGCGGAAAGGAATCTACTCATATCAAAGAAATAAAGTGAATGGAAAGATGCAGTGAGCAAGAGTYGTTCATCAGACAGATATCATTGGCAACGACGACAACAGTCGTTTTGGTCATTCTACTTTTTACCGTTTACCGCTCACAAATGAGTCGGGTCACGAGTACACAGTACATAATTCYCGTAGACTCTACGAGCTGAGCGATTCTCAATTTTTATGTCCATCGTCGACCTGAAAAGCACTTGATTTTTGTGCAAATCTAAAGTCTTTTGTGCCGTACCTTTCGGTCAGGGGCCTCAACCTCAGGGAGGATCGCCATGACGGGGCGRATCAAGTGAAGGAATCTCATGGTTGTTTAAACACTCTGCAGTTGTAGTTAMCAATCGGATAGTGTTCGGAACGTTTTGTGACCCGTTGGAGGAGGTTTGTTTTCACGAGAAAGGTTTCTACCGTACGGCATTTCCACTGTATCGGATCACATCCACATCTACGTACCTTACAGAACCACCGCTCGTTGCTCTCCATCGGTTTTGATTTACTGTTTCTCACGTGTGTAGAATTTAAAAATACGATATGAGCGCGCACCGTCTGACCGCCGAATCAACAAGGGATTTCTTCTCCCCCTTTCTAAAAAATGCTTTGACGCTATTCAACCCCTACCTACCGTACCGCACCTCATCGAGATTTCATGAAGGGTCCTTCCTCACTGTACCAATGGTACRTACAGTAAGAGTATCCAATCCGTACTTTCGTACCAGAGAGTTAGAGTTAGTACTAATGCAGTGCTTCGTGCTGACGCGCAAATAGCGTTCTCAACGTTCCACTTATTTTCTCCAGGTTCCAAAATACATACAGACCAGCATGATACCGGCACGGTTGCAGGAGTGTCTACACCAGCGTTCAAAAGATTGCGTCAGTTTTYAGTTTTCAGATTGCTTTGTTTTTGGACAAGTGATCTTTTTCTCCGCGACACCTTCATAAACATTTCGTCTCTRTYAGGAAAGAGTYAGTGTTCTATCGTTCCATACTGTTACCAAGAATTAGATCTGCAACTGAAGCTAGAATGAATCATCTACTGTTGTCCCTATTTTGCTTGACGGCCTTCTGCGCTACGACAACTTTWGGGTTTTCTACTACACAAAGTTATGCCGCCAAACAGCCTTCTTCGGTGAAAGTTAATTTTTCTTCGCAGACTTCGAAAGCCTTGTTCCTTGTGAAGGACAACGAGGACAGCGACTTTCCGTCCGATGAATCTTCGGATTACAGTGGAGATGTCGATTGGGATGCCGAATGGAAAAAAGTCGTGGCGAAGGACGGGAAACTAGATGACGGCAAAGAGCGTCCCGGGAAGGATTTTTACAAAAGCGAGGCAGAAATARCCGCAATCAAAGCCGCCAACGCTGCTACCAAAACTGTTTCGGAAGCTGGATCTTCGGTATCAAACATGTTGCCAGACGTCCGATCCTTATCCGGCGATTGGAGATTCTGGATCGGTRTTTTGGCCCTGGTATCTGTTGGTCTTTCATTGTTGAGCGCTCCATCGGACATCAATTCGGGGTTACCGGGTGACTCCTTTTACGTTTAGAGGATGTAATAGACTACTCGAAAACTAAAATCATAGAGATTCAGTAGGTATGGTTGGAAAAATCATTCGTCACGAAAACCAATACGAAGCGAGCGGTTCGGGAAGGCCGTCAATGGCCGCGATACAGAGTTGACGTTTCGATGTCAAACCAGGAACGAATTCAGCACTCTAGAAACGCACCTTATCGCCTAGAGCAAATCAGCGTCATTCACGTACGATGTCAATTACAGAGTCTCGTTACTTTATAATAAAGATTTATATTATGARCATCTTGTTATATACAGTAGGATTGCTTTCTTACGACGCAAGAACTYGCGGAAAATAGGCTCCGTGCATTCACGATATTACAGTAAATAACAGTAATGATATCAATCGTTCTTCGTTACCCCCTTTTGATTCGTGTCGCTCTCACCGACCCCCGGTTTGTCGCTTCCATCAACGGCAATGTTTCTTTCGTCTTCCTTGGCTTCGGCTCGGGGAGGGAGATTGTAGAAATGGAGCGGAACGCCAATGAATCCGCCCTCGTTCCCACCAGCAATCAGTGCGTGCCKGCCGGTAGGCGAGATCTCTACGTCAAAGATCGGGTACTTCTCATCGTCCCTTAGCACGGCAACGGGATCATAGAYGTTTCCGCGGGCTTTCGAGTACCACAYGCAGAGCTTCCCGTCGACTCCCCACGAGAGCAACAGGTTTTCATCGTCCCCGCCGCAAAAACACGTCCCAAAGAGGGGTCGCCCGGGCTCGTGTCCCCCCTCGAAAATAGCGGTGCACGTGGCAATGGTGTGCTGGTTCCCCCCCTGGTGGCTCTCGGGATCCAGGGACCACGTGATGAGATGCCCCGTGCCGACACAGGTGGCCAGTCGGTTCCCCGTAGCGTCCCAGCAAAAGGAGGTCAGGTGCGACTGGTTCCCGGGGAGATTGACSACCGAGATGCACATGCCCCTCCCGTTGACCAACCGCAGGCTTCCATCGGCGAGTGCCACGCCCAGGAGCCCGCTGCCCGGGGAATAGGCAGCGTCGAACACGAAAACATGGTTGTCGGGGTTTCGCCCCTCGCCGCCAAAGGGGGTCGTTCCYTCCGGGGCCTTGCTGCTCGTCGCCGGGGGCGGTGGCAGCTGCAGACCCTCCCCCGTGATGCTGCAGGCCGTCACGCCGTAGCTGTACTGATCGAGGTTCCCGAAATGGAGGCTCATGACCTCCTTCAGTTTCATCTTTTCCTGCAAGATACGGATCTTTTGGCCGTCCAGGGCGAGCTGCTGGTCCCAGGAATGGGGTACTATTTCCCACAGATGAATGAACTCGTCGGAGGAGGTCATTAGGAACGCATTTTTGTCCGGTTCGTCGGGCTTTTGCGGTTCCGGTTGCTTCTCTTCCTCCTGTGCCGCATGTCGCGCACAGTGTTGTTGCTGGCCCATGTTTCTGGTAAACACCTTCCAGTCATCAATAAATTGGAGGGCATAGACCTGGGGTTTGTCTCTCTCTTCCTTGATCTCTTCCGCCTTGCCAGGATCTACATCTTCTTYCTCGTCCGGTGCTTCCTCTTTGATCCCCCGCGTCAACAGGTTTGCGTGGTCCAGGGTGTATTCGCACTTCCATTCGCTGCCGATTGTCTTCAGGCCGTTCTTGTCTCTGGCCTCCCCGTCCTTGCAGCCCCAGATTTTTACCTTGCCGTCGGCCCCGCCGCTGACAATGAGGTTGGCAAAACCCGAGGATCGATCCAGGACCTCCTCCGCCCACTCCCGACTCGCCCAGTCCACCCGAAGGCACTCGTACTTGACGTCGTGCCCCTTGAGGGTCGAGACCATTCGGTTTTTYGCGACCTCCCATATGCAGACCATGGAATCCTGGCTGGCCGTGGCCGCGTACTTTCCGTCGGGGCTGAAGGATATCCCGTAGATGACCTCCTTGTGGGCGTAGCCCTGCTTCGASGGGTCCTTTTTGGAGGGTTTCTTGGGCCCGGCCCSGGTGTCGTCCGGCCCTTCGGCGTGGTTTCCCTCGTCGGTCAGATCGATTCCAAAGGCCCCGGCACAGTGCACCGCATCGTTCCACGACGCAATGAATTCCYTCTCCGCCTGCTCGTCCCGGAGTTGCTCCGCAATGCGCTGGTAGTCCTCGTAGTGCTGTTGTTGTTGGTCTTCTTGCTGCTGTTGCTGCTGGTAGTAGTAGTAGTCTTGCTCGGCGGCCATGGGATCCAGCGGCGCCAGCTCGTCGGTTTCGCCGCCGCCGGGGCCGGGGGGTGCCTCGCGCGGGTGCCGCTCGGTGGCGGCCGATGCCTCGTACAGGGCCTTTAGGTCCCGGAGGTATTCCTCCCTGTTGCGCGGGTCCGCTACTGCCCCCGAGTCGTCCGCGTCCGAAAGGACCCCGCCCTCGGCGATCGGCACGAGGCCGCCTCCGGGGCGGGCGTTGGGATTCGTGGCGGCCGTCCGGGGGCTCCTGGCACTCGCGATCCCCTCGTAGTCGTCCGGTGTGCAGGGCTGGCACAGAAAGGCCCCGGGAAGGCCGTCCGTCCCCACCGCTAGGGGTGCCATCGATGGATCCATCAGGAGGTCCATCGCGCTGGGGGGCTTGGGGGGTTCTGCTTGGCYCCCCCCGACGGCCGGAGCCGCCATGGCGTCCTGCAGGGCGCCCGCATAGGGCTGCATGGCGGGGTCCATCAGGAGCTCGAGAGCGCTCGGAAGCTTCRCCGGCGGGGGGTCCTCGGAAGCCCCCAGAGGGGTGTCGCTCGCCTCCGGACCCGCCATCGGCTTGGCTTSGGTGGTGGTTTCGGCACCACCCTCCGGTTCGCTGCCCACAGCGGCATCGGTGGAGCGAATCGCCCCGTCGATCGCCTCCCCGTCGTCGCCGGGTGTGCAGGGCTGGCAGGAGAGGTAGGAGAAAGGGGCTTCGCCGTTTCTGCCCATCAGGTCGTCAAAGGTGGGCTCCATCAGCTTGTCGAGGGCGCTGCGGTTCTCGGAAGGGGGGGCCACTCCGAGGAGGGACTCGAGAATCTTCTGGCCGTTGTTGCCGGTGTCGTCGCCGTTTTGCAGCGACAAGAGCGCCAGTTCCTTGAGAAGSTCCTCGGTTTCTAGGTCGAGGACGTCTCCTGCCTCGATCGGATAGATTTCTTCCCCGGCMGGGCGTTGCTCGGGGTCTTCCTGTTGGACTTGCCGGGTGCCGTCGGTGTCACCGTCGGTGTTGGTTGGGAGCGGAGGGGATCCGTCGGCGCAGCACTCGCAGGCGTCGCCGGGGAGTTCCTGGTCCTTCGAAAGGCCGAGGCACGAGCCGTCAAYGTCCTCGCCCGGGTCTAGCAAGAAGGGATCGTTCTCGAAATCGAGCGCAATCTCGGGTAGGACGGACCCCGGTTTGGCGGAGGGAGAGGGGGCGTCCGCGTCCGGTTCGGGAGGMACAAGGGTCGGGCTCGCCGCGGTCGCTGCCGTTGTGGCGGCAGTGTTTGGCGTGGAAGGGTGGACCTCGTCGCCGGCCTTGTCGTGGTCCTTTCCGTCGTCCTTTTTGGTCTCGGCCGCCCCCGGAGACGGTGGCCCGGCGTGGGATTCCCCCGGACGATCGGCGGTGCCGGTGGGATCGGCTTCTGTYGCCGCTTCCGCCSCAGAATCTTCSCCGTGTTCGAACGACGAAACGGAGACCACGCTCGGTTCTGTGTCCCCGCCGAGGTCCAAGAGGCCGTTCTCGCCGTCCAGAAAGTCAAAGAGAYCCGAGTCAAAAAACGCCAGGGGATCGGAAGCGTCGCCAATATCGTAGGGGTTCCCGTCGGGGTCAAAGTGTTCGCGGGCAAGAATGTCTTCCAGCGGCTGCGGCTCGATGTCTTCCAGAGACCGCAGGAAGGCCAGCTCTTCCTCGCTCGGGTAAAAGTCCTGGGCCCGGGCTTCTCCGTTCTCGTTCTCGTTGCCGTTCTCGTTGCCGTTCTCGTTCTCGATATCGTTCTCGATAGTGTTGTGGCTGTCGTCGTTCTTTTTCGGTTCGTCCTCCTCCGGATTGTCGAGCACCCGCAGTGCGGAAAAGGCCTCCTCGGCCTCTCGAAGATCGTCGTCGAGCGAAATGGTGAAGGGAATGGTCCGGCCCGAGGTAGGCAGAGCGGGAGGCAGGGCGGGATTGGTTGCGGAACCGCAGTGGGCGGAGATTCAGCGGTGGTGGTACAACAGGTTCTGTTCTGCTCCGAGCGTCTAGCCTGCGGTGKTTCCACGGTGTTTCCACGATTGTTCCGGTGCGGTGCAGGGCGGTGGAAAACGCGGAGGGAGGCGGGGGTGTTTCCGTGGGAAGCAGCAGGGTGTGTGTTTGGAGCTTTGCAGCCTTCGTTTGTTCGTTCTGCACCGTACAAGCTACGTACCGTATCGTACGCCGGGAGATGATGGGTATGCGGTAGGCCATAAAACCAAACCGAGCAAGATCGTCCAAATCGCAAGAGAGAGGCCGTATTCCCTCCTGTTTGTACTACCGTTGCCGACTCGTACGATTCATACTCTACGATATTTGCCTACCTCTGTAAGCGAAGCGAAACTACGCGAACCAACTTCACGAGCGGGCAGGGGTCTAAATTATGACCCCTGACGAGCGGTACGTACGTACGTTGCGTTACGTGCTGCACAGTACTGGTATGTTCTGCTTCGATCGAAAACCAAAGACAAGACACAGGGTTCGTTAGTCAGTAGTCGCTCTACTCGACTGAAGGTTTTGTGCGTGTGTACTGAATACGTAATCACTTGCTCGATTTGGGTCATTTTGATGACGAGAGGGAAGGCCAGATCGTGCCATACAGTGCACGACTGAAACAATGATCCGCGGACATTTCCAACGTCGGTACCGATACCAGGTGGCGGATGGCACCATCAGAGTAGTACTCGTACTGTTCTGCTGCTCCCATCGACTATTACAGAGCAGAGGCCCACCAAACCACTGCCATCATCATCGAATGGATATCTCCATTGTTATATGGAAGTACGAAGTACGGTTGGTTCTACAATRGACTCACTTTCTTGCAAGCTCTTCCTGTTTCTAACTACTACTACAAATATAATGATACCGTGGAGACCGAAACCAAATTTTCATCGTTCTTTGGTAAATCTGCTATTTTGCTACCGATTGGGTTCGCCGCTTSGATGGTTTCGCGTTGCACACTTGCTRATACTGGTTGTGGCTTCGGCATAACTCTGGTACTAACGCGAACGTYCCTGCAGAAACCAACCCATGAACCTATTCGCTGGATCATGCTCTTGTCCTTTTGGATTTCCTACCRATTCGATCCTCCGCCTTGCCGCTCGATCCAATGGTGGCTGTTTTGTTCYTTTCCCTCGAAACACCGACGGYTSCAGCGGTACTCGTACCCTTTGGTGTTTTCTTGTTGTGCGTGCTGCTTCCCTCGAGTGGCTTTGCGCCACTCTGAGCACCCAGCAGTTCCCTGACCACTGCCATGTCCGCCTCGGTTCGGATCCCGGGGGCCTCCCACAGCATCTCCACGTTGTTGGCTCGGTAGATCTCGATCGTCTCGGACACGATGGCGCTGGCTTCCCCCGGGCCGCTCAGAAAGGCCTCGCTCAGAAAGACCCCGTTCCAGGGGCGGAACTTCTGCTGGGCAATGAGCTTTTTGGTGGGCAGAAAGACCGACCCGGCGACCTCGACGTCCGTTTGGCCCGGGGTCSTGCGTGCCACGGACCGGATGGTTTCGAGGCCCTCCGTGAGCCGACGCGGGTCGGTCCCGAACTGCAGGTACACCTTCGAGACGCACCCGGTGGCCAGTTTTTCCGCCAGGCGGCGGTCCTCCAAGTCCTGGTCGGACCGGGAGGGAAAGTACGGGTTGTACGCCACCGCTATCTTCGGTCGGTTGCCGGGAAKGGACTTTCCCACCGCYGCCAGGGCCTCTACCGTGTTYCAGGCCTTCTTTTCGCCGCTCCCGCTGACGACGAGGACCTCGTCGGCGTCCGAGTCACGGAGGGATCGGAGCCAGGGCTCCCTTTGTTCCGCCGGTGCCTTTCGGGGAAGCCGGTTGTGCTTGACGGAGTAGTGGGCRCAGACGCTCGCCCCCGGGAAGGYGGCCCGGACGAGACCCACCCAGCCTTCGACGTCGTCCTTCTTGTTCTTGTTGACAAGGTTGAAGGAGGAGACCCCRCACGACCGCAGAAAGCGGACGCGGTCCTCGAGTTCCGAGGGGCTCTTGAAAAAGAGCTCGACGCGCCCGGGGTCCAGACGTTCCTCCATGGAAGGTTCRCTGGYCGGGGAAGGAAGTTGTTGGGTTTTCGGTGTCGCCAGCGGCGTGGCAATCGGGAGAACAACCARCAGAGAGGCAACCGKAACCAACCACAGCTTTGGCAAGCGGRTCATCAACTCTRTTTATCCAGTACCGGGCGAGACACCGTTGGGATTCGGTTTCGCTGTTCGGCRGGGTGTGTGCGAAGTGGGCGGGCGTTTGCAGACCAACCCATACCAATGGAGGAAGAAAGACAGCATGATGATTCATGCTGCACGACATGGTGTGTTCGTTTTGGATGAGTAAGAAAGTGTGAAACGCCAGAAAATAGAATACGACCCGTACGATTAAAAAATCCACGACCAAAACAAAGAAGCATCCGAAAGAGTAGCCRATTATACCTAAATCTTGATTCTCAATTTTGATTGGCTTTTGGATTGACAGAGAACAGATGACGATGGTTTGTCTTCCCCTCGTMACACGTGCGGTACAGATGCAATGCGACAGCCTAGCCAGCGGCGGCTCGGCTTCAGCCTCCTTCGGGTACTGTAGTACCGGTAGGTACGAGTACGTTACGTACTGTATGTTTCTTGCAAAATACAATTTGGTCACGGAAGAATGACGCAACACAACAGACCACAGCTGCTGGAGATCAACGATTGCACTTCGACGAAACAAAGGGAACGAAGAAACAGGAACGAGAATGGGACAAAATAATGTTTCTCATCTGTTCCACGACACAAACCTCGATTATCGGAGTACTAAAGTCTCGAATTGCGGCAGAATAGCAATCTATGCTGTACCATTCAATCGGGGCGATCATCATTTATCACAAAAGTACCAACCAATCATCTATTCAGCATGAGTCTCGAGTCGGATATCATCGATGACGAAAACGATTGGTCCGAATATGTCAGTCTTCGCGAGGATTCCTTCGATGTCGACCCGAAACTGGCGCCGCCTTCACCCGTAAGGCCTCGAGAGGAACACCAGCAACAMAAAATCCCGCTATCCCCGTCCAACAAMTCCCTGTGCATTGAAATGCCCCAGCAACTGCATCCCGCGTGTTCCATTGGGCTTAAGAAAGTATCCTCCTGTTACTTTTCTCTCGCTTCTGCGAATGATCACGARTCGGTGTCCGATCTGCTGTCGCAGCTGGGCGACGACGTTAACGATGCCGGCGGAAGGAGCAACGAGAACGAGAGCAATCCCATCGACGAGTCGGTCAATGTCTTCTACCACGATGTTCTCATGGAAGTTTTCACCTTTTTGGATGCCAAGTCACTGATGAATTTCAGTGAAACCGCGAGGGTACCAAACTTTGAAGTCTTTTACTTTCTGCAGCTTCGGCTCCAACAGGCGCTGCTCTTAGACAACAGCAACGGGAACGATCGCTTGGCGATGAGCATCGTCGGGAAACCAGACTTTTCGACTATCGAGGGTTCTGCGTCTCTGCTGTCTCGCGTCGCGACCCTGGATATGAAGAAGGCCCGCRACCTCGTGGAGGAATACCAAGACTCGAATTCTACCCTGAGGACCATGCCTCTATCCTATTCACTGGCCTATGTCCGGCACTACCTGCTGCGCAACGGCTTTCACAATTTCTTTTTCAACAACAACGAAAGCAACGAACCAAACAACGAAATTGGCTCGACCATGGCCCCGACGCCCCAGACACTCGCCAGCGCCGCGGTATTTATGACCGTGGTCGGAGCGGCATCGATCGTCTCGTCCTCGGACGCCTCGGCGATCACCAYGATGACCGATCGGCTCGGGAGCGACCTGCCGAACGTGTTGTTCCGGGTTGGATTCGTCGGAAGCCTGATGCGAGCGATATCCGACACGGATCACGGGACGGCGATGAGAGAGAAGGCGGAGCAAATGGCTCGGTCCGTGCAAGCAGTGCCCGCCGCCTTGATGCCAGGGAGGCGAAACGGGCAGCAAGGACAGCACGAACACGAATCACAGGTGTCAGAAGATACGGCAAACCCAGAAYTACAATCGCAAACTCATCCAACACCGCAAAGRACGAAATTCCTGCTTCCCTCTCTGTTCGAAATGAAGCACATGCTGCAAGACATGGTGAGCAACGCGGTTGCCGCAGAAAAACAGAGGGAGCAACAAACAACAATCTTTGGTCCATACGATCATTTGCCTCCGGAGACAGGWACCGCTGAGCAGGAGAGAGGGGAAAAGAAGGAACAGGATGCATGCGATGCGTACGATGCCGACGAGAACGACGAACAGCCATCCACCACACAATGGAACGATCCYATGCACGTGGGATCGAATAGCACTGCAAATCGGAAAATGCCGAGCGGCTGTGTCGGAGCATATTCCAGGGCAATTCACAGAGCTGCCGATTTCGTTACCGAGCGCGTCAGGAAAGAGAGGAAATCTGCGTTTCAAGCRTTGTCTCCCGAGGACCAACGCTTCCAATCCCTCCGGTTTCTGAATGCTTGTRCCTCCAACGATACGCTGGACGACGTGAAAGAGATGATCGCCTCCGTCGACGTGGATCAATTCTACGTAGGAAACGATGGCGTCGAGACGTGCGCCCTTCACTCGGCGGCCTTCAACGGAGCGGATCGGGTGGTGGAGTTCTTGTGCGCCGGAATCGACCACCGAGACCCGTGTCTGGATGGAGGCTTGTGCGATGTGAACGCGAGGGACGAAAATGGCTGGACCGCTCTGCACTTTGCGGCCGGGTCCAACTCGATCGCGGCGGTCCGGGTCCTTGCCCGCCACGGAGCCGTCTTGGACGTGGAAGCCCACAACGGCTATACACCCCTCTCGTGGGCCAATCGGCTCTCCAACGACGGCGTTGCCGAGGTTTTGAAGGAACGAATGGAAGTTGCCGCCATGGATCAGTCGAACACGTGGATGTCTAGGCAGCCTCTTGCATCCATTGCAAACCGATTTTTCTCCCTCATTCCGTCGCGCTGAATCGAGACGGGGCTTTTGCACCTTCAAACCGCACTCTGYAATTTGCGTTGTGGAAGCAAAAATCACGGTTGCGATCATCATGGAATTTAAATCTTGCGATTGTCTGCTTGCCGGAGACCTGCGGCAGTTTTGATACAATACARATGTTAAAATTGTAGCTAAAAGATTAYGTTACTACAAGAGATTTAGAAGCACAGCAACAGGGTCACCTCTTTGGCATTTTTTTCCAGTCTTCCGTGCTCCGCTCCAACAGCTCCCGGTTGTGTTCGAATCGTCCGCTAAAGTGACGCGGAGTCCGYCCCTTGTTCGAGTCTTGACCGGAATCGTCCAGCCCCTCCGGATGGGCGAGTATCAGCGCCTCCATCACCCCGGTCGATACCCCCCACATCGCCGCCACGTGAAGCGGGAGCCAGTCGTCAGTTCCGTGCCTCCTGCAGGCATCAGGATAGGCGTCCAGGAGTTTCAGCAGCAGGGGATCGGGGCACCTGAACCCAATCGCGCTGTGGAGGGGCATGTTTTCGTGCTCGTCGGGTTCCGCCGCCAGGTGGGGCTCCTCCTCMAGCAGCTTTTCTACCAGGGGCCATYGCTGGACCTTGATGGCCTGGAAGAGCTCGTTGTCCGATTTGCTTGCATATTCCGATTCCGACAGGGTCATTTTGGCAACGGTCTGTACTASCGATWACGGTACTCTGTCTGTCGCCGAAGTGAGAGATGATACTGKAGTACGAGTACCGGTACGTATCGTATRTCTTGCATCATCATTGGTATCCGGAATCTCATGTCGGAACGAATTTTCGTTCCATCCGTGGCATCCGACTCCAGCATTCTTTTCTCGTTCGTGTGACTTATATCTCTGAGTGCGATATTTTTGTGGACGACCGCAGTTTTCTACGATTCTTCCAGTACTAATTTTACTTGGTTTCTGTTTCTAGTGCGCCCGCAAACCTTAGAGGGCATGGGAATCTAGAGCATTGGGGACATCGATACGATCCATTCATTCGTGATTTACGAGCGCGTGCACGCCCCCAACGGCTGATGCCTTGCCCAGTGTGCTCTGGCGACTTTTWGGGWCACGATAATACGGAGTATCGAAATGCGTTGACCAACCGTAGCGAAACGGTTCCGTAAAGGTGTTCATGTGGAACTAGTGTTAGCACGAGATCAATTTTTTTACTAGTGTACTGTACGTACCAAATGTARCGAAAAACATCACGAAGAGCTAATCCCAAYATACCGAGTAGAGATTCCGTATCTACGGGTACTATTACRACGGTGGAAGAATCGAGAAACGAAGTATCATCGTAAAGCAGATAGACATCTCTCGTCACATCAGCGTTGCGTTCCRAAACGTTTTGGAGCCTCCCAACGCCAGTCTACAGAGCTGTGTGGAAAAATCTAGCCCCCCATACGACGAGGAATAGGATTACTGCGGCGAACCGATTGAGGCTTTACTACAACSAACCTACACACAGGAAAAAACAACAACACATCGACTGYAATGAGCACCATGAGGGCCAGAAAAGGATTGGGCGCCATGCCTGTTCAAACGCAGCAAGGGATGGACCCGCCCGCATCCAATTCGGTGGCAGAACTGGTTCGCGAAACCGAACAACTCGGAATGGCCGGGGAAACCGATCCCCGTGCGACATCCGGAGAAGTGGTGGATGGCGAAGATCCTTTGTTGGATCTGGACCAGCTGGAAGAGCTCCACGACGAAGCCGAACGAATGAAAGCGCTCGGTAACAAGCACATGGCGGCACAGGTAAGATGAAGCAGTGGCTAGTTGCGGTGGCAATGGCGGTGTACGAAACACGGAAGCACGGTTCAACCGAATTGTGTTTGCCTCCTTCATGAATCAATGACTCACGGTGTGTCTCGTGTTCTGTTTGACGAATCGACCCGGTTTCCAGGAATATACGAGGGCCTACAATGCGTACTCGGCTGCGTTACAGCTCTCCCCCGTGGGGCCGTCCTCGCACGTGTTTCTGTCCAATCGATCGGCGGCGTTGCTGTCCCTGAAACGGTATTCGGCTGCCGCAACGGATGCACGCCGCGCCATTGCACTGGCACCCACCTTTGGCAAGGCCCACGCGAGGCTGGGACAGTCGCTCTACTTTCTGAAAGACTACGAAGGAGCGGTGTCTGCCTACGAAGACGCTATCCACTTCGAACCCGACAACCCCATTACCAAGACATACCTGGAAAAGGCACGGTCCAAGTGGCATCGACAGAAAGAAAAAGCTCTCAAAAACAGATCCGGTGGAGAAGAGGTTTCCGTCTTGACCGCCGAGTCGAGCGTGCAACAAACCGTCACCAACTCTGTAGCGACAGATCCCAACGCCTCGGCCGCCGTTGTAAAGACCGGGTTCCGTGGGCAGTCGAAAGCAATCATGAGGGCKGTTGGTGGAGGCATGCCAGCCAATAAGGCCGGGACGACCCCCAACRACGATAGAARGAAGGAYCCTCCTAACGCCTCCACTCCCACCCTGAACGAAAACGCACCGCTAGACGCCTCCGGTGAATACGACGACGATGACGACGACTACGCGGACGATCCGGACTTTGACGAGGCCCTGCGGATTCAGGAACGTGCAAATCGTTACCTGGCGAACAAAAGCTACAAATACGCCATTGAGGAATATACGGCCGCCTTGTTCTTGGTTCCCGACGACGTGAATCTGTCTCCCGAACTGCATCTCGGTCGAGCCCACGCCCTCAATGGGAGCCGCCGGCACGAATCTGCCAAGATCGACTCCCAGCTCGCACTCAGAATCAAGCCTACACCCGAGGCCTATTCCACCCTGGCGAAGTCCCTGTTTTACATGAAGGACTACGAGGGAGCCATCACTGCCTTTGACGAGTGCAAACTTCTTTTGCCGGAAGGCGAAACGCTGAGCATGTTTGATAGGGCATACCTGATGAAGGCCGAGGCCGCGATAAACGAACTGTCGAAAGACAGTTCGTCTGTGGCTCATTCTGTTGCCTCGATCAAGACAATATCCAGGCTTGGATCTTCGGCACCGGTTCCGAAATTGAAACCCCCAAAGTTTGTGTCGAGAGAAGAGGTAAGATATATCTTGGTTGTTTTTGTAGGATGCGTCTAGTGCTGTTTGTAGACGTTCTAKTCTCYTTTTGCACAATGTGCAACGGCAAAAGGATTGCGTGTCTCACTTTGTTCTTGCGTCTTTTTAGGCACTTGCCCGGACTCCAAACATGCCTGCCATGCCAAAAGAATGGCCTCAGCAATCCCCCCGAGAGTCCAAGGTTGTCAAGTACTACGGAAAAGAACGTGACGTTGAATTCTTATCGGAGGCTCTGGGCATCAAACTCAATCGTGGCCCCGACGGGATCGTTCGTGTGATTGAGGTATCCCCCAACGTACCGGGTTCGCCAATCGCTCGGAACGGAAACATTTATGTSGGGGACGTGATCCGCGAGGCTGCCGGTGTTGACATTCGTAGACCGATTACAAACATTATGTGGGGAGACACCGTCGCCCTCATCAAGATGGCTCCCCGGCCCATCGTCTTGGTTGTCGCCAAGGAGACAACCGAATCCATTATGGACGAACGAAAACGGGCGGCGCACAACGCCCTCTCCCCAACGTCAGCCGCGCAATACTTTCCTTCCAATGCGAGTACGGAGGAGAGCGTGAGGGAWCAAATGGAACGGCAACAAAGCGAAAACCACGAGGACCAACTGAACAAACCAGTAAGTTTTCTATMTTCGATCACCTTCTGTAGTGCGATCCAAAAACTCATGTTTGTATACATGCTGACGATAGTATTTCCCCTCTCTTTAAGCAAGGTACGGAGGTAACTCAGGAGAACCCGGACGAGGAACTCGAACCCGTATCAAGTTGTGAAATTGTACAAGGTTATGAAACTGTTGAGGATCAAAATACGAAAACTGATGGCGTAGATTCAGAAAATGAGGTATCGGAAGAATGTAACGCAAACGAACAAAACGAGAGATCACTGGAGGACAATGAGAATGGAGATGAGTTAGGCGACGAAGAATCGAAAGACAGAATTGGAAGTGAAGAAGCCGAAGAGGAAATAGAAGAGGAACAAATCGAACAGGAAGCAACAAGYGAGATCTCTGTACCAGTCGACAACCATGACAAAGAAATGGAAGTGCTAGGGGCAGAAATTATTTTTGAAGACAACGAAAATCTTGTGGCTGCATACAATGGATGGAATAACTTGAAATGGATGGCTTACTCTGGGATCCGAAAAATATGTACAGTAGAACGGGTGTACAAATATTGTGAAGGACGCACAGGATTTCTCTGGAATAAGGACGAATATGTTCGGCGGAAACTAGCTATCTATGAAGAACCCGATTTAATTTTGGTGCTTCGAGAAGCCAATTCCATTGCCGAGTTCAGAGACCTCATGGAGTTGCCACCAGATGCCAAGTTCAACGAGGAGAGAGCACTCGCATCGCATCTATTTGTAGAAAGCGTAATCGATCCAAAGACTGCGAAGCTTCGTCTTTCTCCGCTGACAACCGCCACTTCTGTGATTCCCAATACGGCCAGTGATTGCCCCCGTCTTCGATCTACTTTTGAATTGATCAATCCGGCCGAATCCATCGTACTATCTGCAGTTAGACAGCGAAAAGACGGCGAAACACCTAGTTATGACRACTCGAGAGCGTTTTTTGAGACGACCGAAGTTGAATTTGTTTTGTCGAAGTCAATTTGCAACGCTCAAGCACCTGAGACTTTGAGCTCCAATTTTTCTTGGCGGCACCAAATCATTCTCGGAACTTTACACTCTTACGTGATACTTGGAAACCAAGCTCATCTTGACAAGGGAATACAGCAAGCTCTTCGCACGAAAAATGGTCAGTCGCATCTTGATCTGGCAATACAACAAGCMAGTGAAAAAATGAACCCGCGATTCTTGAATCCAAGGATTATTGATGCGATTGACGAAGGAAGAAAAACAGCTATTCAATACGCTTGCGAGAGYAGGTTTAGTTCTGCTGTGATTTCACTTGTCAGAGCTGGAGCTGATGTGAACAAGCGGACTGAGCCCAGGAACTCTACATTGAGCCATATTTCGGCGAAAGCCTTAGACTTCAAGAGCCTTGATGCTATTTTGACAGTATCTGGGAGTCCAAATGAATTGGATGATCTGTATCGATCACCCATGTATTTGGCTATAACCGAAGGCCGAACTGTAGGGGCACAGTTAAATCCCAAGGCGTTAGAGTATTGCATTGCAACCCTGGCAAAATTCGGTGGACAAGTAGGCGAGTTAGATGAGAACCGTCATCCAGTGAGCTATTTGGCGTATATGTGCCATGCAGAAGAGATGAAAATAGTATTAAAATATTCGAGGTATAAATTCCCTCTACATACGACGAAAAAGGAAGAAATGGGAATATCGCTCGGTGCTCTGTATCAATATCCCATCCACTCTGCGCTGATTTCGGTTAAACATCGATTGCAGAATCTGGGCCTTGGAGGTTATCCTGATAGCCAGCAACTTTGGAGAGATTGTGCTGGAGTCGATGTGGAAGTAAACAAGACTCTCAAGACTTTATTCGCATTCGGTTTCGAGCCAAACGAGAGGATTGAGGGCTTGTCGAGTASTTTCAGAGAGATGGACGAACTCTTGGAGTATGTTGGTTTTGCACCCATACAGATTGCTATGGCATCAGCAATGGAGCTTTCGGATCAACGAAAAGCTCTCGGTGAGGAATTGTATGCGAAAATAAATGATATGTTAGCCAACATCATGGAATGTTTGACACTTCACGGAGCTCGTATTTTCCTCGACCCACCTCCGTTTCTAAGATCTGAAGATCGACGAAAGTTCGTCGCGGAAAGCGAAGCYGGTGCTCAAGACAAATCCACGARACGTTCTCTACTGAAGATTCAGGGGAATGTTGAGTTGTCGTTATTAGTTGGAAGGTCAAAAATTGTCGAGGCTCGGTCGTATTGGAAGACTATCAAGCCAGCTCCAGTGCCTTCGAATATCGTCTTGCATACTGATAAGGCAATGATAGAAAACTCTTTGGCGCCAGGTGGATCMGATGAAAAAAGTTGTTCGATTTGTTGGAAGAAGTTTGGAATGCTTACAAGAAAGCACCGATGCCGAATTTCACGGAGATTTGTTTGTGACGAATGTTCGTCTCGTCGCATTGTTTTCAATGACGAAGAGCAGCGTATCAGCGATGGCCAATTCTTGCTGGCTAAGGCTGAAGAACTGAGCGAGGTAAACAGGCAGCTGAATGCCGAATTGGCGAAGGAAAAGCGAAGGAAACAGAAAGCCAAACTGAAGGGAGTGTCAAATCGTTTGGACCAACTGGAAGCCAAAGAAAAGGATAATAGAGACTCCCTTTTCGGTGGAATAATGGCAAGCGTGACCAAGACGCTGGGTGKAGTAGAAGAGCCTAAAGGTGATACTATATCTGGGCTATCCAATCAGTTAAACAAGACGCGTGATGCTCTCAACGAACGCGGTGACAAGCTCAGTACGCTCTCTGACAAGTCAGACAGACTTGTGAGTGCTAGCCAAGACTTTGCAGCAATGGCGAAGGAACTCAACAAACAATCAAGTCAAGGTTTCTTTTCCGGATGGTAGGGTACAATCTCAATGACRCATGGATTATGTTTACACCCCTCTCTACCTTTAGAGGACGAACAGCCCATCAGTTTTTCATAATGCGAAGTARAAAATACTTGTTTTAAAATACTCAATGCCTTACGCCTGAATAAACAAACGACGAGCGATGGGAATGAGATTCCTCCTGCGTTGATTTGTCCCCTTCTTTTCWAGTTGGTTATGTTGTTGCCTCTATTGTTGACGCTTATCTACTTTAAGAATGAACTTGTAGGCTGGAGCTGGAGCTAGGCTTTTTGATAAAAAGTACCTTCTTCCTTCTTCCGCTTGATTTTTGAGATGTTTTCCACACAGTACGAACATACCTACCTACCGTACGGTATGTTACGATTACGCCTAATACCTAATACCGGTTCATCAAAGGAATGAATCTTCTSAATTTTGGTTCTAATTTTTTAACGAGTCACGAGCTGAGAACCACGTCATTCAGTACCGAAGTGTGAGTTTKATTTTGATTCATTCGATTTGTGTAGTAGGCATCAACAGCTCCAGCAACTTCTCAACAGCACACAAACATCATCACCGTCTGGACGCGCCTTACGAGCGGTATCAAAAACATCTTGATTGCATCAGTCATCCGAATCTGCGTTGTTTTGACACCTCGTGTTTGTCGTGAACAACGCCAAGGCAGATGCTGCAAACAAGTTCCTACTGAATCAATTTTCAATTCTCACCTGTCAAACGAATAACAGTACACCCCATAATATACACCGTATCAACATCACCCTCCTCTACAGAAGCACTAGAATTKCAATAACAACATCATGTACAGATTCKCCACCTTAGCTGTCCTTATTCTCGCGGTCTTGAGTTCATCCTCGAATGCCTTCACGACGCCCAGRAGCGTCGCCGTGCGACAATCCAGCCCGCTCGCCCCCATGATCCGACTGTCTATGGCGGAAGGCGAAACGACACCCAMCCCCGCAGACCCAATGGACGCCGCTATCGAAGAAGAAGAAGAAATGGACGATGCCACGCGCGAGCAACTCGAAAAAGTCCGACGAGCGCAGGAACTCAGAGAGCAGGAGGTCTTCATGAAATTATCAACCGGCAAGCACAAATGCACAAACTGTGATTGGGAATACGACGAAACCAAGGGCGACAGCATGATGATCGGAGGAATGATCAAACCCGGCACAAAATTCGATGAGATGCCCGCCGACTGGAGATGTCCCGTCTGCCGYGCCTCCAAGGACGCCTTCGCCGAGGTCGTCGAAGAAATCCCCGGGTTCGAGGTCAACCAGGGATACGGATTCGGATCAAACTCGTGGACCTCTGGACAGAAGAATCTCGCCATCTTTGGAGGACTTGCAGGGTTCTTCCTTTTGTTCCTATCCGGATACGCCATGTCATARGAAACCCGATAAGCGACCGACTATAACAAGTATACATTTTTTCGATCCAACTGTGTCGATGCAACACAGTTCTGAACCTCATATACAAGAGAAAAAAAGGAAAACATCGCACTTGAATGACCTAGCCTGYGTGCWAGTGATGGTTGCGMCACCATCGATTTCTCGTGCCAAAATCAGCAGAATATATTACGATAATATCATGATGATCTGCTGTCGATTATCACAACGGGCTATCTTTTTTTATTTGGGCACCTTTCCACATCGTGTGTATGGAAAGATGCACATTCACTCAGCTAAAACATATTTTAATTGTCACACTACTTCATAGATATTTATTCTATATTTTTCACATTGCTCTTTGTGGCGCGTGCGTGTTTCAGATTTCAAGTGACGTATCTTCGTTACGGCTGGTCAAAGGAGTGGATTCTGTGGCAATGTCCAAATTGGCCTTGAACGTGTCCAATTTAAATGCGACTCTGTGCTCATTGTTGTTTCCTAGTTCGTAGACAAAGGCTCCCGTAACTACCAAGATCATGGCAACATAAAACGGAAGATGAGGTGTTTCTCGGAAGAAGAAAACGGAAAACAAAACAGCCCAAAAATTTTGGGTTTGGAGCGACAGGTTCAGGAGAGTTGCATCCGATTTCATTAGAAACTTCGATTCCGTAACGTAATATGCCAGCAATGATGCAACATAGCACGCCGCAACCCCTGCAGCTCTCAAAAATGTTTCGTRGTCTGTTGCAAATGCCTCGAGCACTGCATCCCGTTCGTAAAGCAAAGACGCTATAAGGGTCCATATTGCTCCGAAGAGACCAATCATTCCCAGGTATTCCTCTCGGTTCACATGCTTCGACCAGAATTCGGCGCAGGCATCTCCTACTCCGTATCCTAGAGCCGCCAGAATAGCTAGAACGTCACCACTAAAAGAATGGGGCTGGGGAGTTTCCCTATCGGGGGACAATAATATACCTTTGTCCGTTAGTATGGTGATTCCCCCTCCCAGCATGCACAAGACGACTCCAATGTAGTGCATTCTTTGGTACTTTTTGCCGAGCAGTAGCCTGCAAAATATCATTGTAGATGGTATTGTCAATGATTGCAACAAAGTGGCACTCGTCAACGAAGTTCGATGTATAGCGAGTAGTGCGAGGTAGTTGGGCACAATATCCAAGAAACTCAAGCACAAATATTGATACCACGGAGTCCTTARTTTTAATCTTGTTAGCGGAAGTCGATAGCGTGGACTGTCTGCTTGTTCCTTGATACTACCGGCACTCCAAAAAAGGTGCAACGTCAAGATCGCATACGAATTGAAGAGCAGAAACATGGGAAATACCATCTGCATGCCATACTCCAATACATAAGAGGAGGCATTCATTGTGGACGCAATTAAAGCTATCACCTGACCAAAACACAGGGGTATCCATCCATTTATTTGCTGCACCGGGTTCTCTTCTCTTCTGCGCTCAATTTCTCGCAATAAAGTATTCATATTTCTATCGTTGTCTTCCTGACTCTTCCCACGCAAAACATCGCAATGCTGAAGGACCACCCATGATTTGTCACTGTCCAAGTCGCCGATGATTTCGAGCACTGGACCCATCGTCTCTGAAATCCAGGCAACTGCTTTGCGTCACCAGGAACAATGGCAATTGTGAAAACCGACACGAGTATTCCAACTTCGTTTATTCAACGCGAGGATAGAGAGGCTTGTAGCGCTATGGGAAAGATGCACTGGCTACCATTATCTCATTCAGTGTCGTCTGTTTGTTAACGTATRATATGTTTTTGCAATTGCACTGCGTCGAAGAAGAATGATCATCGACTATTCAAGTGCGAGTATCGTAGTCGTAATCGCTTTCCTCGACTTTCGTTTTTGATAATGTTCATCATCGTGGAGTGAGATAGCATGGAGAACGTTTCCAAAAATCAAAAATCGTTTTATTGGTTCTGATTAGATCTGAGAGGAAATTTTGAATAGTATTTCGAGATGCGCRAGCAGAAAAGAAAATATTGTATGTAGGAACGTAAATGGTACTCGTAGTGGTACGATAAGACTTGCTTATCTCGGACCGTAAGAAGATGGGTCACGCTAATGCTACCGCGCGCATAATTGATATTTTTAAGACCAAGAACATACTACGTACGCACCGTACTCGTACTGCTGTACGAGCACTCGTAGGTAATACTATGGTATTGTTACAACTAAGAAAACCGAGACCAAGAAGCCAGTGAGTCAAGACAACTGGTGACTTTTTTCTTTTTCCAACTGTTTTCTCATGTTTTTTCGTCCTCCGGTACGATTTCCGTACTTTACGGTGGACCAAAATTTGTTTCCTAAAATCCAGTTGGTTGGCTGGTGAACCCGACTGGTAAAATTTACACGAAATGTGGAATGATTGCTCGGGACGTTGGATGAATATGAATTTGACTTGCTGGAAAGCGTCCTCATGAAAGCTGATCTTTGGTAGCGTAAGTAAGGGTTGATGAGATGTAAACGAAGTACTTGAGGGTACTAGCTTAGTGTACGTTATTTTCTATTATTTCAATATAATGTTGTCAATTTTTTTAAGAACAAAATTGTCTCTTTTGATTCGGTTCCCTATACCAAATCATGGATCGAGATACTTTCCAGACGCAATCCCATAGTGTCTGGTGGAGTTATAAGGTAAGTTGTGTTCAATTACCTCCAATAATCTCTTTTTTGTTCTGTCTTTTTGTACCATATCCGGCAATAATTAGCGAGCTCATCCCATACTACATAAAAGGAGTATTGATTGGGGTGACACGAGCGATCTTGCTGTGGTGGTACGAAGGATGATTGTGATGCTGGTGCTCWGGCGTCCAYTCGCATTCTTCTTCACGCCCACGCTTTCGTTGACATCCATCGAAGTCATAATACGGTTGACTGTAGCGTAGATGCTGATAATGATGGGCACGGCTGCTAGTAGTAGGATAGTGTTCGTGGTGACGGTATCCAAAAGGCGGAGGGGACGATGGACGTGCCCTAAGTGATGAGGCTACAGGTGCTCTAAATGTAGATTTCGAGACAACTCGTAGCCGGGATGCGGTAAAAATAGCCTTGCGGGTTTTGATTGCCTCCCTCTCTGCAGTCTTGGCGTAGCGGCGTTGGTGGAACTGCCAAAAAGGGGAAAACATTTCCAGGTCAATTGCAGAGCAGTTTTCGAGAGTGGAAATAATTTTGCTTACTTCTTCTTCGTATTCCGATATCTCATCCTCACTCTTCTGAGAAAATCGTGCAAACATATATTCTCGCATCTTCGTTCCCAAACGATTGCTAGTAGGTGATTCGTCGTCGTAGTTGTAGGCGTGACTATCAAGTGCCAATGCTACGGCAGCAAACGCAATTTGACCTGGTTTGAAGAGGAAATTGATATCTGAGTAGACCAGTGCAGACTGTGCAATGGATAGTGCCCTTTCACAAAGTGTATCGAGACCAATGTGGTCGTCGTTGTAGTAGCTAGTGTACGATGGRTACCCACATACAATACTGCGAGGAGATGTGTACACACTCCCCCTTCCCATAGTATCATCTACAGAACAYGAAGAGTGGTATGCGGTGTCATTGGTTCGTTCTGGTGGCTTCATGAAATRGGATACAACATCTGAAGCAAGTACTTTGATAGCACCATACGGATGATGACTACGAAGCCTGTAGTCGCATCCCTCGAGAAGTATCCTCTCTGCCGCCTCAATCTCTTCGATAGTAACACCTCTCAATTCGTCCATCGAAAGAGGATCATTCTGTGCTCTCATCTCAACGACGAATGTCGCGTGCGATAAGACGTCAATCTGTTAAAAATTGGCGGAGAAAGAACATGAAACATGTGTGAGTGCTGGCGAGGATACCAAAAAAATGAGTAGAWTGACTCGCGCGCTTTCGGTTGTATTCGTGTATGCCGATTAAAATCATGGTTACTTAGKGCGCATTCCGCGGGTGTCAGCCTAAAATTAAGATTAATCTCGCGCGATGCGCGATTCGCCCCAAAATTCAAAGACGTTCCCTTCCGATGCGGAAAAAATTGAATCAAGTCTGGGACTACCAAGGTATGGTAGTACCTCTTTTGTTGGACTTACCGGTAGGTTTCGTTCGCAATCTGTCTTTACAGCCAGTAGAGCACTAGCTGCTGCGATATTGCGAGGATGRAAGTCGACGACAGAGTTTGATAGAAAGAATTTTCGGAAAAGCATGATTGCGGTAGATAATACGGAAGATCCTCTTTTCAATAGAGGGAAAATAGCATTCGGCCCGACGAGTTTTTGAATTTGATGAGCGTGAAAATGAATCAGGGTCTCTTGATCTTTTGGAGTCATGTTTCTTGGTAGATCAAACATAGTAGCATGGTCACTTTCGTTTGTTTTGGCCGTTGCTTCTGATGCTGTTGTTGTCGTTTTTCTTCCATTGTATCCGCAAGCGAATTTACGCACTCTTGGTTTCCCGTTGCTTGTGCTTGACTTAGATGCTGTGTTAYTACATGCACGCTTTCTACATTCGAGAAGAGAGTCTTCGTCGAACATCCAATACTTAGCTTGCGAGCTCATCTCGAAGTCCACTTCCCCCATGATTTTTTCAGCGTCTTTACTCATCGAAAAATTATGGAAAAACGGGAAGATCGATAGAACTGTATCGAGTTTTCTAAGCAATGGATCATCTGAATTCGTCTGCGCGTCAATCTTTTTGTTTGYCATCGGACGATTTAGATTTTTTTGTGGGAGCAAATGAACCGGCTTGTGAATCAACGGAGATAATTCTTCCGCGCAGGCCGTGATTTTTAACGATTTTRGTATGTCCAGTCGGGGAAGCGGGACATGAATGCTCGTTTAAACACTTTTAGTCGGATGAGAGCTGCCCGTGACCCATACCAAGAACATTTTGCGCTACACGAGCCCGCCATCTATACCGCCACCAACTATGGCGCATTCCGACAAGAATTGAGTCCATTAACTGGTTTTTCGAGGGAATGCCTGCAATGCCATGACTATTTAAAAAAGATTCTACGACTCACCTCTATAAATTCCAGACTAACAGTTTATGGCATAAGTAAAATAACGGCCCTCCTTCAGTACTGCGGATAAGTTGCGGGTATACGGCACAGTACGGCATGGTGCGTTACCGGAACCAATACGACTATTGATCCAAAAGTTTTTTGAAAGTACMACGAGCCGTCATCGGATCTCAAATACCGAAACGCTTACGAGTCAGGGGAAAATTTGAACAAGAACAAATTGGAATAATTATCGGTATTTGGACCAATATTTGAAACTTTGAAACCCGAATCTACTGTGATTAGATCCTTTTCGTACTACCGCTAGTAGAAATGGTGCCGAACTAATCTACAAGTAGATACAAGAAAGATGGTTGTGAACCAAAGTCTTCCGAAATATATGCACCTAAAAAGTCATATTGTAACTGGTAACAAGTTTTATCTTTTTCCTATGCGATAGTAAGAGAATCAAAAGCAATCACGCGCTCGTCACTTAACATAAGAATCTTAGCTTCAACGTTCAGCAATTCCAAAGAGGCATCACTCACGATACCGCAGTACGTTTCATCATAAACTCTGGGATCGTCTGCTTCGTCGACAGCCTTCTTTATGGATTCCTCGCTAGCTATTAGGAGTATATTGTATGATGGAGATATCGAACGCAACTGCCGTATTCGACACAACGTATCGCGATTTACACCCACAAATACGAAATGAGGACCCGTTTCGTTTGGATGAGTCCAGATCCATGGCCAAACCTCCTTCCCATGCTCATCGAACTGATTCAAAAGATATGGAAGATCCTCAGCTGTTGGGTTCTTGATGTATATGTCGTAATCTTTAGGGTCGTGTTCCAAGTAGTCCATTTGCGTTGTCATAGTCGTCGAMAAATTCCGTATTGTTGTCCCGACTGTTCTCGTTGTGTGCAAAAGATATTCTTCCTTCTCAAAAAMGRAACTGCAACTTGCTGCTCCAATTCCAACCGCTGCAAGAAATAATCCMCCTCTTGAAAAGTCTCGGGGTTCACCAATTTTCAATCCACCACCATGAGTCCGATTACCAACCCTCAAGCTAGACGAAAACCGTTTCATTACCCTGACGCTCGAACATGCCAAACACGAAAACRTCGCCATTTTCCAGGTCTTCTCTTAWAAAGAGAATCTGTATCACAGGATTTGTTTCGGCTTCTTCTATCGGTTATGGTGGKATACGCCATCGCATATCTYAAAGAATTATTACACCACCGTACGGTATTGTTGTCGTGCCCACGTTCCCTCGTAGTATTAGGGGTGAGTGCGACAMCGCATCTCCCATCTTTTGGGTTTTGCAGGGCAGTGTTCACCGACGACCGTCMTCGTTACTGACATTCATTTGCACTAMATCAAACCTGGTAGGATACGGCACGTAAGTACCGTACACTTTCTGACTCACCGAATGAGAAGAAATAAGCGCGCCAAATTATGGAAATTAACCGTCAAGTAAGTCGGCCCTCGTTTCTC